CCTGCTGAAAGACTGTGGAAACTACGGTTACTTCCAGAGAGACAACGTGTCCCATATCAATATATACGATAATATTCCTGCAAGTTGTGGAGTGTCCTAGAGAAACTGCAGCCATTGTTCTTAGACTGTAACTCTTACGAGCAGTGTATGATAGATGCAGAAGGTTAAAGAGGGATGTTTGTGTCTGGTAGGCGCCAGGTTTTGTCTTGCCTTGAATTCATTTGTTATGAAAGCTATTTAGGCGTTAAAGAAAATTGAGAACCAAAAGCTAAAGGAACATCATTGTTATTTAGTAAAGACAAAATCTCTGAGGAGTTTTAATGTGGAAGCAAAGCTTAACAAGAGCTAAGGCTGCTAAAAATACTTCTGTGGTTTCCCTTTAAATTCCAGACAAGTAGTGTGGAAAACATCTTAACTCTTTTGGATGCTGCTTCAGGAGAATTTCTGTCAGATCACTTCTACTTTATATTCAAACTGCACTAAATTAAAGAAAGGTAAAAGATATTGTAATGTGAGGTACAAACTTGTTTTTTGGTTTTGTTTTTTTACTTCTAACTTGTAATGGACTTGAGTATTTATCTAGGATAAAACATAACATCTGATTAAACACACGCTTTATATTATTACTTTAGACCCTTCTAACTTGCATTCTAGGAAACAAAAAAGTTCTCACTTTTTTTTTCTTGCTGCTTTTCTTTAGGTGTGCCAAAATGTCAGAAAGATCAGATATTCTTCACTTCAAGTTTGACAGTTATGGGGATTCGATGTTACAGAAAATGAACAAACTGAGGGAAGAGAACAAATTTTGTGATGTCGTGGTCCACATAGATGACGTTGAAGTTCATGGGCATAAAATTGTATTTGCTGCTGGCTCTCCCTTTTTAAGAGATCAGTTCTTACTAAATGACTCCAGAGATGTAAAAATCTCTATACTGCAGAGTTCGGAAGTGGGGAGGCAGCTGCTTCTGTCCTGTTACAGTGGCGTTCTGGAGTTTCCTGAAATGGAACTGGTAAACTACTTGACTGCCGCAAGCTTTCTGCAGATGAGCCACATTGTTGAACGATGTACGCAGGCCCTCTGGAAGTTTATAAAACCGAAGCAGCCGTTGGAGAGCAAGGAGTGCGAACAGCAAAGTGACTCCTCTGAGCTGAAGGACCATCAAGGAGACGACGACTCTCTGCAGCAAGATTCACCTTGTATTCAGCCTTCAGAAGACAGCATGGACATGGAGGATAGTGACATTCAGATCATCAAGGTGGAGTCCATTGGGGAGGTAACAGAAGTTAGGAATAAGAAGGATCAGAACCAGTTTATTTCTTCTGAACAAACTGCACTGCATTCCTCAGAGCCTCAACACTTTCTTATCAACTCCACTGTTGAAAACCGAGCAAGTGAAATAGAGCAAAACCACCTCCACAACTATGCCCTTTCCTATGCTGGCAGCGATAACATCATTCTGGCCTCTAAAGATATGTTTGGGCCTAACAACCGAGGTATAGACAAAGGCCTCCAGTGGCACCATCAGTGTCCAAAGTGCACGAGAGTATTTCGGCATCTGGAAAACTATGCTAATCACTTAAAGATGCATAAACTATTTATGTGTCTACTCTGTGGCAAGACATTCACTCAGAAAGGCAATCTCCACCGGCACATGAGAGTGCACGCAGGCATCAAACCATTCCAATGTAAGATCTGTGGGAAAACGTTCTCTCAGAAATGTTCCTTACAGGACCATCTCAACCTGCACAGTGGGGACAAGCCCCATAAGTGCAACTACTGTGACATGGTTTTTGCGCATAAACCCGTTCTGAGGAAACATCTTAAACAGCTACACGGTAAAAATAGCTTTGACAATGCCAATGAAAGAAACGTTCAAGACATAACAGTGGACTTCGATTCATTCACATGTAGCGCTGCTACAGACAGTAAGGTCTGTCAGCAAGCTGATGCAAGCCAGGTACTGGATGCAGGGAAGCTGCCTCAGGCTGTGCTCAGTTTAAGAAATGATAGTACCTGCGTCAATTAAGCAATTGACAACAGCCCTTTGTAGGGGTCGTGACTGAGAGGAGCAAACAGTTGGTTTGGGCTCTTACCTCAACTAGTGGTATGCCCTGAAAGGCTACGGATGGATGGATGGATGGATGGATGGCAGGTTGGATTGCAAAACCTGGCAGGTCTTCAGCCATCGTTCTTAGTCTTACTTGATATTTTCTGTGAATAGCAATCTTCCTTCAGGTTTCTGTCTGTGTCTCTACTGTGGATTATGGGGTTAATTATTTCATTTCTCTCTGATTAGGAGACTCAAGACTAACACCTTTTGAAAGACTGTTGCTGTGGGCTGCAAGTAAACCACCTGCTGTACAGTTAGAGGCCTCTCTGCGTCTGGGCAGATGGAGGAAAGAGCAAAGAGGACAAGTCTGTGAGATAACCCGATTTTTTTTTTTAAAGCACTGGATAACTGAAAGCACTCCATATAGTTAAATTTAAATGTACCTCTTAAAATTGTCTTTCTCTGATCTTACCCCTAGACCCCTGCAGTTGAAATGAAGTACTTTTGTGTCACTTTTTTGCCCTTTCTAAATTCTGCTGCCAGTCAACGCTATCTTAAAAGCTCTCAGGGTTTTTAACCTCGGCATGCATTCTGAAAAGATAAAACCCTAAATGATTTGGCAGGGCTAGCTGATCATTGCCTAGAACTCTTCAAAATGAGAATGAATTGCAGCTCTGGAATGTGAGAGGCTGGTGCCCGGAGTGCAAGTATGACCTATTTCTTACGCTGTCATACCTAGGATTTTTAAAGGGCACCTACCAGTGTATGTAGAGACAAGCTAAACACTTCAAAACTAAAAGTTATTATCCATCTCCCATAAATTTTGCATCACATAAGCCACAACCATTGTTGGTTTTAGAGCAAAGCTGGAGTGGAGAAATACTGCTTTTTGACACTGTGAAAAGACTCTGTTTCAAAAGCTGCAATGAATAACTCCATGCTTTTCCTTTTTTTTTTTCTTCCCCCATCCTGTCCCTTAGTTCTCGTGTCTCTCTCCTTGATATCTAATATGGGCCACATGCCAGTTAACTTCAAAAAAGAAACAAAAATACCTGCCATAAGAACATTAACAACATAAAGTTTTCTGATTTTTGGAAATTCAAAAAAAACCTTTTTTTTTTTTTTAAAGTGACCTGCACAGTTCTTGACCATTAGTGTTTTACAGAGCCTAGGATGAGGTATAGGTAGCACAATTTCCATAGGCTAATGTATCAGCTATTGACTGTACTCAGCAATACCTCTCGTATACCGCCTTAAACATCAAATGTAGCGGGAATGGCATGTTAATTGGGATTTTGGGATTATACCGTACTGCTTCTCAAAAGTGCCGTGGAATTATCCGCATCCCAATCAGGCTGAAAGAAACTAATTTATCTGAGGAACACCATTCCCAGTAGAACAGCACTCTTATTATGTTGAAGTGTAGCATAGACTAATAATTGAGTGGCTGATCCTTGGTAGAGAACTGCTCTTTGTGTTTGGAGTAAGTATTTCTTCCAATGCAGCTCTTTTCCACAAGGTTTGCCACGAGGCTGAGATTATGCTTCCTACCTAAAAGTAGTACTGTTTTTGTGTTTGAATGAGGGGGTGGGGGCGAAAGGCTGCTATTGTGTGGTTAAAAATGCTAAACAGGTATGACCAAAGGTGTGTTAGAGCAAAAAACGTTTTGTATGTAATTATCAAAAGTTGGTCTTGATCTTCAGATATGTGTGTCTAGAAGCCAGGATTTCCTTATGCAGATGTTACACTGATGGACGATAAAAAGCGTTAATCTTGCAGAATGTTTTCAGAAATCCACATACTTTCAAGTAGAAAAGCAAGGTGATTCTGTGAATCAGTTTTTGCAATTGAGTTTTTAAACTACTGTACTTGACTGTTACATGAACTGTTACATGGACAGCTATGAAGTAAGCAATGGAAACGGAGTCAGGGCATTGCATCTTTCAAGTTGTAGCAAATATATTTAGGCCTCAAATCTAACTATTTGGAACTTTTTAAAATTACTGTTCAGGTTCCTGGGGCAGAAAATAGGTTTGCATGGGAAGAAAAACTGTTTTTCCTCTTAAAGCAACCTGCTTTCATAATCGTTTTGAGCTAAAACTGACCGTGACGGTTGCATCTGACACTTGGATTCTGTCTTCAGGCAGAATCTTCTGTGTCGTTGAAACATTTTCATGACATATTATTCACTATATGGAAATAAATTATAGCGCTAACGTCAAAACGAAGATAGACATGGAGAATAAGAGCTTGCAGAGGCAGGTCAACATGCCGTAAGGGACTAGTGAACAATCTAACCAGATATGAATATGGACACGGTAAAGAAAATGGTCTTCTGCCAAAGAAAGGAATAAAACTGTACGAATGCTAGAAAAAAGTGGCAGCAAAATGGACAGTATTGAAAGCTTTGTCTATCTGGGAAGGTTTTTTCTGTGGAATCATGAAGCTGTAATGTTACTGCAAGGAGAATACAGCTTGTTGAAGTAGCCGTGGGTGACCTGAAGCTCATATGAAGAGACAAGGGGTTTCCTAAGAAATAAAAACGTGATTTGGTCAAGATATATAGGTCTTCAGTCCACCCTGTGCTGTGGTGGTGTCAACGTCTGAGAAGGCCGAGACTGCTGGCCGTTCAGTTAAAAGGCTGCTTGGGGTCATTCGGTGAGACTGTGGCAGAAATAAATAGGAAAAAGACGACCTGCAGAAGCCTGCTTCGTCAATGAAAATGGACGCATCTGATGGATGAAAAGTGACTTCTTACTAATGTCTGTGCTTTTGGCCTGGCAAAAGGGTGCAGACCAAAAGATTTATGCAGGAGACAGAAACGCTGGGGATCTAAGGGCAATATGCTGACGGCACGGTGCAGAGTGCACTGGTGGTAGAGTTCATCTAAGATTTGCCCCTATATGGAACAGACAAGTGAAGAGTATAGAAGAGGCATTAGAAAAGAAAAATCTGGCTAATGCTTCTTCTCTGAATTACAGATTAAAATGGAGTGAGAATTATTATAAATGGAATATACAGAGGCAGCTCGATTATAGAATAAGATGAACTTAATTGTCCGTGTATGTAAAATGTTGTCTTCATTGCAATGTTCCAATTAGTGAAAGACTAGATCCATTGGTTGTTGCTACTGATGCTGCGTATTCAGACGAGGACTATGGCAGTTATCATAATCTGTGTGTTAATGTGTAGAATACTATTTGCTGGTAAGTGGATAGTCTCACAACTTCATGTGCTGTACAACTTCCTGCGTATCCTAAAAATAACTGAAGTCTATTACAAAAATATTTTAATAACTCCTTGAATATATTAGGACTTTTTTTATGTTGGCATTTTATTTATTTTTTTTTTTAATATAGGAGAAGAAAATCTTAGAACTCTTAGGTTTACCAGAGGTTTAGGCTCACCACTTTTCCGAGTGGTGGTAGCTCGTGTAGCACGCGTTCTTGCAGCATATGGTGCAGCTGCACAGCCTCCTGTATAGATCAGGGATGAGTCTTTCCTTAATTTATTTTTCCTTTAGAAGACATGTTTTGCAAGTTAGTAACTGATAAAACTGAAGTGTCAGTCTTTTTCTCCCGTAGCTTTTTGGCAAAACTTAGATAGCTGCTGCTTGGGAGGAGGAAAGGCGAGGAAGGAGCATCAAAATGTGATACATGTTGAAACTGTTGAGAGAATTCTGAAGTCATGTTAATTTTTTTTTTTTTTTTTTTTTTTTAAAAACAAGGGGGGGGACATAGTCATCCCTCCTGACTGGGTAAGGGTTGAGGAGGCAGAATGGACGTTTTTGCTTTGAGATTGTATAATGGACGGACTGAGCATTAGCTACCTCTTCAGTGACTGGGCAAAAGTCTTAGCCTAAGCGTTATTACCAAAGCAGGCGGGTCAGCGGCTGTCGGAGCGGCTTCCTCCCGGCTCGGGGCCCGGGAC